CATACCTGTAAGAGGAAAAGGATAGTTAAGTAACTCAACTTAGTCCCCCTTTTACAGTTTCAGGTTCAATGGTTGTTGTTTTTCCTTTTTAAAGCTTTGTCTCCTCTCTTATGGTAGCACGTATGTCATGTATGTACATACATAAATTTGCAGTCATTTACATAACAGAAAGTCAACTTCGCAGTGAGGAATTTCCCAATTCCTAGGGAAGATAACTAATCCCTTACTGTTGTGGCTTCATTTCCAGTGTGTGTAGGTGGTAGGTAAAGTGGTGTAAAGAAGGGGATGTATTGGGAATGGGCCTAAGTCTGTATGTTTACCTCATTTTTGGGCCCTACGTATCATGTTGCAATATTTTGAGATTTTTTAATGTTTTTTTTGTTGCTAGTTTGTTAAGTCCCTACAATGAGTATGAACACCTCTGTATTTACCTGGACAACAAACTTAAGTGAAAATGCCACTGTGAAGCTGTTGACAAGACGTGACAGAGCAGACTGTAGGGTAGGAAGACTAGGTCTTTTAGAGTTAGCAGCAAGATGCTACGTATCTGTTGGAGTGGCAACAGCAGTAAAAACTTAATAAATAATACCGCTGCAGTTCTGGGGACTCGTGTAGAACCTCTGCAGATGCTTTTACAAAGAGGAATCCTTAATAGAATGGAAAACATTATGGTCAACCCTTTGCTGTCAATAACTGTTGTACAACATCAGACGACCACAACAGAAGATCTTTCCTGCCTATAGCCATCAACATCAATAACATCTTGTATTAATTACAACAATATTTATGCCCTTAATAAAGTATTTGGGAATTTAAATTGACAAGAACTAGATTATAAGTTTAATTTCTGTGTACCGTTTCTTATTAACTTGTAGTACAAATACTTTACAGCAGGCATCCCAAACTCGGTCCTCAAGGCCCCCTGTCCTGCAGGTTTTAGAGGTTTCCTTGCTCCAGCACAGCTGATTTTAATTGAAAGCTGATTAATAGGCTTTTGGTCTACTGCAATCATTATAACCAGCTGTGCTGAAGCAGAGAAACCTCTAAAACCTGCTTGAAGACCGAGTTTGGGAATGCCTGTTTTACAGCATTCTCTCTGTTGGTGGCCCAAGCTTTTCCTCTGAATCATCATATTGGTTAGGGTCCAGCCTTATCATTTTTGTGTATCAAGACCATTTCTGGGATGTTAGGACCACAAACAGGCTATCAAACATTATTATTATTTTGGAGGAATATATTTTATCTTTTAGCTTCTGTGGGAAAAGATTGCATTTGCTCTGGGTTTTATTTTTCTTTGATATATCAGTAAACAAATAATTCTGGCCTTTTTCCTCCACACTTAGATTAGTGATTTATCAGTGTCCTCAAAGAGTTTTAAGAGCAATCCATTGATTCCTAAAATGTATCATCACAGTCTGTCCTTTTAGATATTTCACATCAACTGAGATAATACTGAGAGCGTCAACTTTGACTGGTACCATGCAGTTATCATGTATGTGTAATTTGTAATGAACTGGCAGAAATAATTCCCTCTGCATGTAAAACTGTCTGTTTAACTAGGTTTAAAATGTAATTCTTGGGTGAAAGTTGTGTGAAGCCATGAAAGGGATGCATGGTACTGAGATAAAGTTTTTAAAGTTTTAATAAAGTCATAAAAACCCTGAAAAATGACAATCTGATTATGTAAATATGATCATAAAAACATGCATGCTTACACCCTAAATAATTATTGTAACATCTACTAAAAATACATTATTCTCCTATTTAAGGTACATGCATTTAGAACACACCTATAGCTGAGGATGAAAATGTCTTGTAACTTTTAATCAGTAAATCATGACTTATTATCCCAGAACATTATATTTAACACAACACAAAAGCCACATTGCATGAGAATTCTTCAAAATTGGAAAAACATCAGAGAATGGTGTGTCAATACAGTGTTACCTAACTTTATTTGTAACAAACAGGGCTGGAAAGGAATCCAAGTTTACCTTTGTCTAAAGGTCCAATGAGAAGGATGGTAAATCTTATTTGCATAGATATATGTGTAGAAAAAAATCTGAGGAATTTATACAAATCTTAATCAGGAGTTAAAATAATAGTGGAGACTGTTTTACTGGCACTACAAAGTAATAGGGTTCCTAAACATTTTCCCTCTTGAAATAATTTGAAGTTGATGTTAAGGCCAAAGACAAATCTAAGTATGGAATCTCAGCAGCTTAAAAAGCCTGAACATACCGGAAAAAAAAAAAAAAAAAAACATTTACATGCATAACCAGTTACACACGTAAACCTATATTTTGCAGTATTGTGAAACAACAAGGTCATGTTTTGTCAGGGTCTAGGCCTATCACTACCCGGTCTGTCCTGACACCATGATCCTACCATCACCTCATTTGTAAATGTGCAACCAGAAATGAATCCAGATTTAGCCATTTAACAATAAATAGCACCATAAGTAAGCATTTCTATTCTTAGTAATAAAAGTGTACACCTAGTAAAATGGATAATGACTTTACTGACAGAATTGATACGTTTACACTCTTTCTGTTATTTCACTTGTCTGATGTCCTTCACCAGACATGCTCAGAGCAGTTCAGCAAAATATAGACATGGGGTTTTATCTGCTTTTTATTCTCATTCTTTAGATTATATGTTATTTATAGGAGTGCTATTAAATACATCAACAAAACCCTAAAATACAATATATTATAGGGTACGATAAAATTAAACTTTAAAAGAAAAATGCCCTGAAGGAAGTACGGTATGAATCTGGCGTCTGGGACAGATCAGAAAGTATCAAGGTCAAATATGGCGCGGTAATGGAGCCAAAATTAAGACTATTGTACCATAGCTGCAGGACTGAGTGGAAAGTAATTTTTTTCTACCTATTATATATAACCTATTTTAGTAGTTGGTGTTAGTTATACGGTCCCCAGTAATGAAACAGATAAGTGCTGTTTGTGATGCACTTTAACCCACATTCCTCATATCGCTGGGAATCAGTCAGACTTTGGCTTTTTATTTTAATTTGTGACTTTGTCGCCTTCTGCTTTCCGTTTTCCACTTTCTTTCCCTCTTCTCATGCTCTATTCTTGAAGTATTTTCTTGTATTCACATTAACTTTTGAGTTTTAATCTACA